GGGTCTATGGGCGCCACCATAGAATTACAAGTGCGCTGTCGGCCTAATGGGGATTAATGATTTGGAGATTGTTAGATATCGACTTACAAGGATAGCATTTTTTTCCTTAATAATAGTGAATAGTGTGTTTTAGCATTATGCTAGATGGCCTAAACGGGAATAAATATTTTCACTCCTCCTTTATTATTAGTTAAAATGATGACACAATTGTTTATATGCATATCAGCATGAAGTACATAAAAACAAACTGTAGTTGTGGGATTCAAAATAGAGTGGCTCAAAGGGAGGAAGGCTGACTCCAAATAAAATCCAGAGAAAGATATTGAACTGAATAACATAAAGCAACATACTAAAACTTGAATAACACTTTCATACAACCAATACTACCGCAATGCGTTCCAAAATCTAGAATATAAGCCTTATCGACACTGATTTTTATATCAAATCTTATTTATGTAGGTTATATTATATATTTATCAGTTCGCATATATATATACACACTTTTACCTACATTTTTCATTAATTACACTCATTGACGCGCATAATTATTAGTTGATAGTAAACAGGTCATCATATCTGATTACTCGACTGCGTCAAAAGTGGTATATGATTTTCCTAAAGTGCAATATACGTTAAATGATTATACTATAATGAATTTATAGTCAGGATTACGATGCCTACGTTGTAGTGGGACAAAAACGCGCGAATTTTATTGTCAGTATTTAACAAATTGTAGATGGGTTTTAAACAGCTAACAGAGCTTCTATAACGACAAATTCACATAACAGGACTACATTAAAAATAAAATCACGCAATTTTTTTCACACTGCGATGTAGGCCATAGATATTAAAAAAACTATACAGATTCATAACAAATCCTGACTAAACCATATAGACGTTTGATTTTAAAGATTTCATTAAAATTATGCACAATAATATTAAGAATATAGTAATCTAATATCACTTAGTGCCCTCACGACTGACTCACCGACTGTACTTGAGTGTTCAGTGCGACTGCGATCTGCGACACGATCGCGCGACACGACCGCGCGACGCGACCGCTGCCGTGACCGTGGACGACCGACCGCTGTGGCGTCAGCACAGCGCAGGCTCATCGCGTTCATTGTAACCGCGCATACCTGGAACAGTTCAAATTATCTCATAAATACATAAATGGCTTAATTTTATAATGGCCACTGTTCCTGGATCGTCCAGTAAAGCATTGCAAGATTTTATGTTTTGAATCTTACAATAAAATAGGCACTTTAAGCTTACTTTCACCAGCATAAACTATTGACAATGTACAGCCAGCCCAGTATCCGTTTAGTATTTGACTAGCTACTTCCGCGCGCTCTGCTCAGCTCCTAGAGTCGTAGCGTGATGTTTAATAGCCTATAGCCATCCTCGATAAATGCGCTATCCAAAACAAAAAGAATTATTCAAATCAGACTAGTAGTTACGGAGATTAGCGCGTTCAAACAAACAAACAAAAAAACAAACTCTTCCGCTTTGTATAAGAGTATAAGATATGGCGAGGCGTGTACTGAAATTTAAAAAATGATTAATTCTCGCCAAAAACCAAAGAGCCGACCAGTGGTGACAAAAGATTAACAATATGTAACAACATCTACTGTCTCCGTATAAATAATTTAAATCATAATTTTCTTATGCGTATCAAACAACTTGGCTGATTGTACATAAAACGAAGCATTTAACTGATTCGATGATACATTAGAAATGTGTTACGCTCCGGCTTTGCACAACAATTATTCCGAGATAATCGGTCGATTTCATCTTTTTCAAACGAAAATATTAATCCAATTTGGTGCAGTCCTTCTGTAGATACGCGCGTAGAAACATTTTGGTGATTCATCATCTTTTTGCATAGATGATTTATTTACGTAGACTGAGGTATTGTATAATATAGATTAAATCATTACTCATTAATTAATGATAAGATAATTGCACTCAATATAGTATACTAGTTGTGCCTGCGAATTCGTCCGCGTGGAATAGTTTTTCACGGCTCCTCTCCCGTAGCTAAGTCCATGCCTTGCCACCTTTTGAGTTTATCCCGGACACACATACAGGCAAACAGACATAAATTCTAAAAGCTATATTTTTGGCTTCGGCATCGATTGTAGATCACGCCCCAAGGATTTTTAATCAAATATTCAAAGTACAGTTTTGACTTTACTACGATTTTATTATATGTATAGATGTGTCAACTGATTAAGTGTAGAAGATATATACAACTTTTATTTAAAAACGATATCTATAAATATGATGATTCATGTACTATCTGGAAAGATTATCAGAGAAATTACTATCCAATACTACTGAAACAAATTGAAAGACAAATCTTTATTATATGACAGGAGGGTAAATGAGATATGTATAGTATATTAAAATCGGAGAAAAGTGAAAACTGTACATTGAATATTTTTTAAAAGAATGCTTGGGGCGTGATCTACAGTCGATACCGAAAGCAAAAATATGGTTTTTAGAATTTTTGTCTGTTTGTCTGTATGTATGTCCGGGCTAAACGTAGTATAGTATTACGTAAGCACTATGGGGGGTGGGGGGGTCTCTGTTTCGCTTATTTTGGATGATATGGGGGGTAGGGGAGTCTAGATGATGGTTACGTCATCGGCAGTTATTTACTTTTTTATTCGTTGAAATTATAAATTACAAGCAAAGATCGACAGAGAAATAGACATTATGGTATCTAAGAGAATATTAAAATTGAATATGTATAAAAAAGATATAATTTAAAATATTTACGTAAGCAAAGGGGGAGGGGGTAAGATGGGGGGGTAAATCATTGTAAAAAATCTGCTTACGTAATATTTGAACGGCCCCTTACGAAGGAGGAGCTGTGAATCACTATTCCACGCGGACGAAGTCGTGGGCACAGCTATTACGCAAATAAATCGAGAAGTTATATTACAACAATCAATTTACACTTAACACTAATACAAATTAACTAAATTATCATTAACCAGCAATCATTGACACTTATCTTTAAGGCATCATCAAAATATATCTTAATATTTTAAACTTAGATAACAATATAACAGCTTCGTCATAAACGAGTCTTACGTATGTCGCAATTAAAAATTTTATAACGGGTGTATGTCACGCGCAACTGACTCATATTAATGTATATAGTCATAGATTAATAGTGTAGTATGTTCGTCTTGATTTCGACTTGTTCTGCAAGACCGTACCTAATAGGTGGACGACCGAAAACTATAATACATAATCTATACTAGTATTATAAGGAGGAAAGATTGGATGTTTTATTTATTTATTTGTTTGAATTTAAGATGCTCCATCATCAACAGACGAAAGTCGTCCACAGCTGGACAAAGGCGAACGACAATATTTAGGCTATATTTAAAAAGAGATAAATAAGGAAACCGTGTATTTCGATAATGTAAATCGATTTGTTGACTGTTAAAAGAAAATCTAAATTCTGCCAGAAGTCATTATTCTACGCGGACGAAGTCGCAGGGAACAGCTAGTTATTATTATTATCGCCCGTCTCCCATTGGCATAGGACAAAGATAATATAGAACGCTAAATAACACGATTCTTGCATACTTCTCTTACTTCTTCTCTTTCTCTTTCACTTTATCTACATTCTTCTTGGTAGAAGAATGTAGATAACCTAGATGTCCTTATAACTTAAAACTGGTGTTTTAAGTTATAAGGAGCTCCATATTGGCTGTTGGTGCCACGCTCTCGTGAATCTCGTATTCACTGGATTCCTGGAATGACTTAAAACTAGTGGAAATTTTTTGGAGAAGTTCACGTGAGTGAGCCTTTATGAGACACTATTTATGTCTGCTTGTAGATTGAGTTTTTTTTGGAGCCTAAGCCGGTAAACTAGCAGACGGATCATCTGATGGTAAGCATTTGGCGCCGCCATGGACACCCGAAACGCCAACGCGTTACAAGTGCGTTACCGGCCTTTTGGGAATTGGGAATTTGAGGATTGTGGAGGATTCGGGGATTCGGGAGACTAGGGAGGGGGTAATTGGGCCTCCGGTAACCTCACTCATACGATGAAACACAACGCAAGCGTTGTTTCACGTCGGTTTTCTGTGAGGCCGTGGTATCACTCCGGTTGAGCCGACCAATTCATGCCGAAGCATGGCTCTCCCACACTTAAAATAGTGTGGGAGTGATTTAAGTGCAACAATTTCTACTTTTATTCCCTAAGCGACTTACATTTATACACCTAGCAAACACACAAGTACGTCAACCTGTAAAGTTAACACACTTAGGTAATGAGACTATCATTTACAAGACAATTTATCAGCAATGAGGTCATTAACCTTAATTATATCTTAGAACTAGATACGAATAAAGTGAAAATATCAAAACCGCAACAGTTACATTCATATAAAATTATAAATACTTATGTAAAGAATGGCCCACTGAGGATTGGTGCCATAAAAATATGCATTACCGATCTAGAAGTTTAGGATCTAAGAGCAACCGCAAATGACGTCAGAGACGCTAGCATCGCGATAAAAACAACATACAGACTATTCAACATAAATGTTAACACAACATTTGGGACGTAAAGCTGATGGGCAGCGAATGAACTATGTCAATGGAAACATAACATTTAATATTACTTTTCTGAGCCACCAGCTATTTTGAGAAGAACGAGAATTTAGCATTGAGATTTGAGCTGTTTGCAATAAAATCTTGCATCTGAATGTTTGAAGAGATACATCATAGATGAGCTTTGAAGTCGGCGCCGTACCAGAACTGCGTGGTTGGGCCATTCGTTTAGTATTTAAAAAAAGTTTGTATGCAATGTAGGCAATGTGTAGGTATAGTAGTAGGTAGCACTATTTGCTTAATGTCCAGCCATGGGGCAAATTGATGAGGTTTATGCACTCGCATTTATTAAAGAAAGAAAAGCCACGTGAATTATGGAAGCAACTACGTTTCAGTAACACATACCTGCGCTGCCTCGGCCGCTACAATTGGAAGAGGTCATCATGAGTGCGCTCCAGACGCCTGAGGGAGGTATCCACCCGCCTACCCTGGGTGAGACCCACCGGCGGCGGAGGCAACGGAGGCGGTATCACTTCATTGTACGAAGTAGACGCACCCATGGACGCAGACTGCCGAAGCCGCGCCGTCGGCCGGTGACGGACGAAACCATCCTCCAGGTCTTTCACGAATCTGAAAATTAGCACGACGCAAATTAGAACAAATTACATGAAAATTGGTTACCAAGTCGTAACCATTTCGTTTAGCAGCCGCAATTGGCAAAAATACTCCCAATTTGAGACGTATTTACGAATTCGCAGTAACAATGACGGTCTCAAGATAATAGTCATTATTTAAAAAGAATTGCAACAATTAACAGCGTCCGCTGCCCACGTCTCTGTTATTTACATAAAACTTCTCAGTATCGCTTTGAGCTGAAAAATGAAGTTTTATTACTCTTTAATCCAAACATAACTGTCATCATCGTTCCAATTACTCACGATGTTAAAAGGGGCAAATATTTTTGCTCATAATCTGAAGCTGCAACAAAACAGGAATTCGGAAATGACGTAAAGTCGGCAGTTGCAGTCATGCCCCAGTATTTGTTATACGCGGACACTGGCAGCAGGCCAGGGCAAGGCTGCGCGATAAATCTGCGAACACCCTGAATCGATAGCCGGCTTAGTATTCACATTACATTCCTTTAAATGGAAATTGTATTTCCCGGAGACAACTTTTATCCCATTGTATCCTTTTCCCGATTGGAGTTGTTCAATGTTAGCTTCGGCAAATCTATATCTGTGTACGTAACACACTACCATATCATCAATTGCTTAGAATTGTATTTTTGTCTTTTATCAATCAAAGGTCAATAATAATAAGACCGAAAAAGATCATAATATAAAATTATTTAAGACACTACTAAAGCGACGACTACGTGAAATTTAAAGTCCAGCTACGTTAAACATAATACTATTATCACTTCACCGACATAGGATACCACTTGCAAGATAGTCAAGGTCCGGTCACGGGACCGACACTAAACTACCCACATAGGCACATACAAAGAATCTTATTTTTAGAACCACTCGGCGGAATAAACCCGACTGCACAATTGACACTCACGACTTCCTACTCAAGTTCAAAGCAAACTAAGTTCTATCACAAGCGAGAATGGTTCAGTTTTCCATGATGTGTTTGGTGCGAATGTGAAGGGCACGCCTGTTGGTTTTAGTTATTAGTTTTTGTTGTAAGAGCATTGATAGCGGTTGTAGTATGTGAGCAATAATTGCTGAAATGTGTCCGTGGATTTTGCAATATTGCGTGTGGCTTAGTTCACAAACTCCATAGGTATACAATGGCATACCCACTTATACCAGAGGTTCTATAGAAACCATCGAACAAGACAAGGTCACAAATAATAATATGAGGTTACTATTGTCGTGACAAATCGACCCACAATTTGGACAGCCCTTGACATTGTCACGCTTTGGTGGATTTGGTGTAATACAATGATAGGTTTAATTATTTAATTATTATTTAGAAAACAACACCTTGGAACTGTTATGTAATTAAATATCTAGACAATTGATTGTCAGCTAGACAATATACTAGGAGCAGCATTTCGGTCACATAACCGAACAAAAACGAAATAATTCCTACAATACTCATTAACAGCCTATAATTCTAAGATCTAGAACGGTGAAGAAAACCTGGGCTCATAATTTCTAATTATAAGTTTGTAATCGCCAACCCGCATTGAGCAAGCGTGGTGATTAATGCTCAAACCTTCTCCGTATGAAAAGAGGCTTTGCTCAGCAGTGGGCATTTATAGGCTACAATACTCACCGGAGAGAATTTACACGTATTTCACATAGCTGGACTTTCAGAAGTCACCTACATACATTATCGTTCAATCGTTTCCCACCACTGCCCAAGGAGGGTGGTGGAGCGAGGAGTCTGCATAAAACATCCACATGAACGATCTCAATCAACCAAATGTCTAATAAAGATTTTCTCAGAAATATCTCATAGAGCTACACCGCTCTCGTAAATTATCTTCATTATCAATTACTTTGTACGCCGTATTTGACGATTAATTAAACTGTCAAACACCAAGCGGTCACCGGTGACCGCGACCTATTGTTCTTTAAACTGTCAAACACCAAGCGGTCACCAGTGACCGCAACCTATTGTTCTTTAATTGTGTCTATAAATACGGTACTCGACGAGTTAATTGTGTCTATAAATACGGTACTCGACGAGTTAAATCAAAATCTTATGATCAGATGTATATTAATCATAGCAAACTTATTTGTATTCAGTTTACCTTCATAAACCTACACGACGGAGTTTAATTTTATTATCTTGTAGATTGTAAGTGTAGTGTATCAGTCAAATGTCTCAGAAGTTTATTACTTGTTCATAAACAGTGTAACCATCACGTAACGTTAGTACAAATAATATTTTTATTACATTGAACTGATTAGACAATTCTTACTTTCCTACAAAGTAACACCAATAGGGTAATTTGCTAAATTTTATTTTATCCGTCTGCTAAATTAACACATTAGACACGTACTTTTTTATTTTCTCACGAAATGAATACTTTCGACGATATATTAATTTGAAATATCGTGTGACGTAACGACCTCCCACTCCTAAACTTAACTCCATTTTATCTAAGTATTATAACTTGTTATGAGAAAATAAAAAATACGTGTCTAACATTTTTTCATTATCTAACTGACAGACTGATTAGATTTTTAATTTTCATACCCTGGCAACTTTATATGAAAACCTTCCGAGAAGTTCTATCATGAATAATGATTATATCTAGAATCTATATCCCTACCTATAAACTGAAAAGGTACTTAGATAATTGTGTACCTAATTAGAAGAGTACATATACACATTAAAGGCTAATAAAACAGCAACATGACCTTTACGATGACGCAATGCCCGAAGGGGTAGACACCATTGTACACAGAGAAATTATAGCTAACGCCCACATTTTCACGAAGCTAGCTTTAGGTACCTAGGACTTTGTAGTCGAAAGTTTTCCAATACTCGGTAACTAGGCAATACTACTGAAAGTACATAATGGTACAGAACATAGGTCCTGAAAACAGCAGAGAAGTACAGTTACCAATCTTCTGGAATCAGTCAAATACTACTAATAACTCATTTTACTGTCGAATAAATGTTTTTTCTTTTTTTTTCTTTCGTTCTATTTTTATAAGTATTTTTTATTTTTAAAAACTTTTCCCCACGCTGGGATTTTCTGCTGCATTGCGGGTACGTTTACAAACATACAATTTCACATACATAAGCCAAAACAACAATTTGTAGATCACACAAAGAGTTACTCCGTACGGGAATGGAACCCGTTACACGTTGCGCGGCAGCCAGTTGCCCAGCCACTACGCCAACGGTGGAGTTATCAAATATAGTCCGATGAGATACAAAATACTTCGTAATTTTTGTCCGATTAATGTCAAGGACATCATGAAAGACTACAGATTAATCTCAATTGCGGCTAAGAAGATGGTAACAGCTATGATATCAACAAATAATTTAAGTAATGAGGTTTGGTCCCCAAAAACAATTCAGCAAAGTAAGGGCAAAATATAATTGTGTACATCGGTCAATGATCTAGCAACAGTCAGATGTTATGAAAATATTTGCTCTCCAAACTTTGCTTGTCGTTATCATACGCTATATAGGTTCATAACTATGTCTCACAGACTTAGGTACCGACGCGTTTTTATTAGGATTAAGTGCTTGGACCGAAATAAATTTGTCTAAACAGGATTAGTCTATGTAGAATTAATGGTACCACGTACGATTAATGAATGGATAGCAATTTTTAACAATTTTCGTTTCAAGAATATATACAAATACCAGCGACGTTTACCTACAGATTCAGAAATATGAAGCGTCCACATTTTGGTGACGTAAATGGAACTCTATAAAATCATATACACCTAAGACCAATCCCAAAACTGACCTAATTGGGAAAACGCCAGAAGGACAAAGCCACAGAAACATAAAATAACATACAAAGTAATCATAACTCCCTAAGGATAAACAATAAACATTTTAATAAATCCAAACGAGAAGATTTTCAGATAAACTACATTACATTCCGAGTAACTCCGCCATCTTGTGACGTCATAAGATGAAATAAATTGGGTCAATTTTCTTCGAAACGCTACTACGTGGGTTTTGACATTCAGTAGCAGTCATGTCACCATAAGTCACAATTGTCTGAAGCAGACGAATTACGTTGACATAGTCTATCGATCTTTAATTCGCTACTAATCTATGTAGCCACCATTTCTAAGAAGTTTGTCGACCGAAATCAAGGGTTTCTGATACCCAAAAAGTTATTTGTCTGGAAAACCTATTGACCTGTATTCATTTCTACGAAATTTATAATATTATAGTCATCATAAACTGCTCTAAAGAAAATTTCTTTCACAGATATTACATTTTTATAGCATTCAGTTTGTACCAGATTCGACTCAGTCAATTTTCTGCAAGGAGCAATTACTGTCTGCCCTCTAATCTACTTACAACATTCTTGGTTACACATCATAAATATATTTTCATTTCAACTAAATACAGTCTATTTAAAAACGAAACTATAAAAATCCTATATCTCCAACGCGTTTGAGAGTTAAAATATAATTTGATGTTTACGTTGCTGCTCAGTTGAAATCACAAATCGTAAATTAGAGACTAATTAATCAAACTTTTATTGGATTCAATGTCACAACATCCTTTAGTACCACAAATACTGCAATCTATTTGCAGGTTTCCTTCGTGGAGATATTGAAAGTATATTTGTGGCTCAAATATTTATCATCGCATTTATCAATAAGAGCAACAGAATAGTTGGGAATGTTCGTCCATTATCACTGAAACACATTAATTTTTATGGTATTTTTTTTTAAGGGGGGAAAATCATCGAATGACTGCTCCCGCCTGGGTGAGGCGGAAGGGAGTGTCAGACTCTTACTGACTAAAAACCACCCCGTTCCTTCTCCTGCACGTCGAGCCGGAGCCCCGGTTACCCGTTAGGTTCTCCGCGACAATTTTTATAGTATAAGAGGCAAACTAGCGAACGGATCACCTGATTGTAAGCGATCAGCGCCGCTAATGGACACCCGCAACACCAGAGAAGTCAC